ATAACTACTTGAAACTAAATTGTGCTTTAAACAACTCTATGATTTCTATAACATTAGTAACTTTGCTTCTACTATATGTTTTATCAGCCATTCACTTTTAACATTGCATAATTAATACCCTCACAGATCGGTGAGAGTTTTGTTACATTTTGCATATTATAATACAAAGAAACTTAATAGTGATGATTTATTAAAGAACGATAATGAAAAAGGCAACGTCCTCCTATTGTAAACCTCCGTTTACTATCGGAAGTTGACACCTGCGCAGTTTACATTAAACGTTTTTTTTTAAATATAATAGATAACATAAAATTGGTACCTATATAAAAAACTACAGTATTTTTGTGCACATATATACTTGAAAAAACATATATAAACATATTATTACTTTATTTAGCAGTACGTACCTTCTGCACCTATGTAATTATTATTTTTAAAATGTAATTATTATGTAGTACAATAATATAATTGGTGTTTTGAATTTAATTTTATGTTAACGTAATGTAAAATCATATTAAATGCACCATTTATTACATTATTTTAACTACGTATATAATTGTACGACTTATGTATATACAAGATTAGAGTACCAGGGAAGGACTTAACCATAATCCTACTTCATCTTCAAATCCAAATCCTTCATCAAATCATCATCATCCTCGCACAGTACAGTCACCAAGAGCAGTTAAATAAACTCAAATCAATCTCAGATTCAAAGAAAAATGGAATAAAAGTATCTATACCACATCTTGTGCACCCAACTTGTAATAACATTGAAGTTCTGAGAAGCTCTGAGAAAATAATACAAAATATAATTGCTCAGTACCAAACTTAACTTATATATTCCAGCCACCCAATGTGGGCTATTTGATAGAACTTTGTTACGCTAATTTGGGGATTAAGAGCAAAATGAAACTTCAAAAGCCGATTGTGGTAATATTGCAAGGACAAATCTGAATATCAGAAACCAAATGAACACTTTGGAAAAAGGCAGATTTCAATGTTCGAAAAATACAAAGAGACCAAGGGTCAGGAAAAAAATGAAGACGAAGACTAAATTATCTGGAAACCTTCAATTTTTAATCAATAAAGCTAGAGAAAGGTTGTTAAAAGCAAACGATTACAAGGCTCACTTTTTGTTAGAAAGTTCTAACCAAAACATATTCTGTAACACACTTTTGTTATCCTTTCCCACCCCTGTCCACATAAGATCATATTATATACCTAGCCAGGCAATGCCAGGCGTCACATCTAGTATATACTTTACGTTCATAGCCTGAGTGATACTACTTACTTTATATACAATATTATGAAGGCTGGCAATCAAACTGCACTTCACTTATAAGCAATTAAATTCAAATAATTATTATGAAACTATCTCTTAGTATAATTTATCTGAATGATTAACTATAACAGTTACACATAAATTCGTTATTATTATTATTGAAATCAAAAATCACTGCTTAGCGCAGTGATAAACAACTTACAAACAAGGAACATCAATGCAGACTAAAATTATTAATAATGTAAATAACAATTTATTTTAAACAACAAATTACTAATTGCTTGTACAAACAGAATGAGCGTAGTAGTTTCGTTTTAGTTCACGTAGTTTTAAAAGAACAAAATAAAACTATACCTACGTTTATATCCATCAACACTGATATTATAAATAGGTAAATTTTATTTTTGTATGTAGGAGTGGTAATCTCTGGAACTACTGAACTGATCTCGAAATGCTATCACTAATAGAAAGCTACATTACCTGTAAGTAACGTAGATTATATTTTGTTTTGCTATTAATAAATTTTCATTTTGAAATCTCAATATTTTTAATATACTTAATTGAAAAAAGCGCTGCTTGGCTGACTTATCGGCGTGCGCTGATTAAATGGTAGAATATTATATACGGTCTAAACTACGACGAAATACAAGGCACTAGCTTATGCACACGACTTCGCAAACAATGCAGTATTTGTGCCAAAAAGTAGCCTCTATCATTGCAGATATTTTTAACCGACTTCAAAAAAAAAGATAGTCAATTCGACTGTATTTTTTGTGTGTAAGAACCTCAGAACTTTTTTCTAGATGCACCGATTTTGATGATTCTTTTTTATTATTTAAACGCTCTTGTTCCCATATAAATTTTATTAAGATCTGACCAGTAGTTTTTGAGTTATCCTTAATAATACATATTTAAGTGACTTTGAATACATTGATGATGTTCTTATTTTATTTATATTGAAGTCGTTTATACAATTTTTTTCATTTTACCACTTGTTTTCTATAACCAACGGTTAATGACACTGCGGGCAGCGAGTGTTTAACACTAGTATAGTTTCATCACAATTCGTTCAGTAGTTCCAGTGTTGAGTGGTAACGAATATACCTCACCACATCCATACTTTTACCTTTATAATATTAGTGTGGTAAATATTTCTACGTTTCAGGGTCGGGGTTCCGGGCCCATAGATAAACATAACATATTGATAAATCTAATTACATATTTACAAAAACACTACAGTAATTATTGCACCGACGTGAGTGAATAACGTAATTGCAAAAGTTACGTAGACTGGTAGACTGAGAATAGTTTTTTACGCTGGCGAATCCGCAGGGCGCAGCTTGTCAGTCAGTAGTAAAAAGAGACTCATATGGTACCTTCTCTATAAGTGGTATGATAATTAATTCTTTAAATATATGCATACATTTTATAGAGATATTTTATTATTAACTAATATGAAAATCAAATTATACTGGCGTGAGAAATAATTGTTCCTAAGGTTAATATGTAACATAAATAAACCTTTAAGACTGTTATTGAGTCTAACCACTCATTAAATACAGTGACAAGCGTTCTCTTTAAAGGCCAAAAACACGTGAAAAATAACGTTGAAAATCAGTGAAAAATCGTAAACATTCGATGTATCAATATTTTGTTAAAGGCAGTCGCGATAAAATCACTCGACAATAGACATCATTTTAGCAGTAGTGCACATATTCACAACCAAAGTCACACATATATACATATATTCGATGGTTTACATTGTATTTATCGTTTACGATTTGACACTCGATCAATATCGACACTTCTAAAAAACACTTGCATATAGAATTTATCTACAAATGTATGAAGTTTATTTTCAAGATAATCATTTTGGCATTATACATTAAACAATTACTACTTACAAATGGCAGTATAGACCAACAACCAATTGTATATTTAAAATTTTAGAAATATATTAAAAAATTAAATAGAAATTTGCAGGCAATTTAAATGTAGTGTTTTTAGTATATAATTTAGTAGCAATCCAAAACGTTGACAATGAATAAGGAATTCTTAAAAATTAATAAAGAAAATGATAATATATATTTATTGTATTTTTTCATACAATATCAAAATGTGAACGGTGAACGGCCCTGAGCGTGGCTAAATGTTATCTATCTCACCTAGCGTCATGTGAGAAAGGAACAGACTAAGTAAAGAGTAGTAAGGAGCTAATACGCACGCACACACATTGTATGCTTTATTTTAGTGTATTTCATGAAGATTTGTACTAAAAACGAGCGTGGAAAATTTTACACACCATGAATTTCTTTTGGGAAGTATAAACTAATCCTGTAAGTAAATTATTTTTAGAGGTTTTATACATCTTATGTTATTTATTTATGCACAAATTTGCGTTAAATTAAGGTTTAAAATACAGATGAATCTAGGCCTCTTATTATCAAATAAATACTTATTTTACTCTTCTACTACGTACAAGCTTAGATAACGACAAGATAAGTTAATATCAAGCATGATATATAGTTCTGGACGTTCATGATTGATGGTGTACGTCCAAAACACTACCGGAGTAATCATCCTCCTTCCTACGTTAGTATGGAAAAATGACAGACTAGCGCACTCTTTAACGTCTATGGAGCCATTATTTAATTGCGTAAGAGTCCCGAGGAGAGGGAGGTTTAAAAAAACCTCTACATGCCTTTATCTTGTGGAGAGGGGGGTAAAACCAATTCTTACGTAAAATTTTGAAAGCTAACATTAAAAATCTTTTTTCAGAATAATACAATCAAGAAATCTTATGTAGTCTTACATAGAGGTAGGGGGGGGGGGGGGAGTTCAAAAATCGCCAAAATCATCCTTACGTAATTAATGAATGGCCCCATAACCAAAAGAATGCTTCGAATAAAAAATTTTAGAACAGTATTATTTACACAACTGGCCTAGAAAACGTTCTGTCCTTAAGTTTTTCGTGTTTTTGTGTGCTGTAGCTAAAACAATTGATGAATTTTGAAAATAGTTTTTGTTGCTTTTATCTTCATCCCCGGCTGGGATGTCACAAGTTACATTTAATCAGTAATCAGTGCAATCGTTTTGTTATATTACTTGCAATGTGCATTTTTCACTGGGTTTTATAAAACCAAAATATTGTAAAACTATTGGCATAACAACAACAAATAATTTTATAATGCAGTAAGTAGTACAGCTGTTATCTTGACATATTATTCTGTGTTAAAATAAATTGTTTTTATTCCACGTATTAGAACAGACACCGCGAACAAAATCTGGGCGGCAGTGCGAGTGAAAGGAGGCACATAATACATTTTTATGGCAAATACGAGTACGTTAGTAAATTTAAGGCCATGGATTCTAACGCGTGTTTCAAACAACCAAGTTTCGGCGTCTCTTCTAGTACATAGTATATATTACTTCAATGTAATTATTTAAGATTTTTTCGAATATGTCTTTAAAAAACTTACACAAAATAAATGTTAACCTAAGAAAATCACATATATAGCCTTTTCTATATCTAAACACTGCAAAATCTACCTCAATATATTCATTACATTAAAGCTACTATTGTATACCATACTCCCTAAGTACGCTGACGGTGACGCTTTACTCAGTCCTTAGTAATTCTATTTACGTTTTTGAGATTACTTTAGCTTTGGGCAAGTCCAGCTTGGTCCTTAGGACCTCTTTCGAGAGAGACAGCTCAACTGCAGCTATCCTTTTTACTTGATTCGTCGTCGTCTTTAACAGACTCGAGATCAGTTTTTGAAGTGCTTGGCTGCGGATTCTCTGGATCTGAAACATAATTTATTAAATTAATTATTTATTTTATTAAATTTATTTCATTTAGTGAGGCATACAATCCATATAATATGTTGTTTGTGTTTTAAACCTGGCGTTAACGAGTTTTTTTTAATAGTCTAAGGTTACCCTTGTACTATTAAAAAAAAAACTCGTTCAAACGAGCACATAGTCCACCTGATGGTAAGTGGATGCTGTGGCCCATAGACATCAACATTTATCCTCGATTAGCTGTTCCCCGCGACTTCGTCCGCGTGTTATTTGGGGTTTTAATTTTTTTTTGCGGAATCCTAATTCTTTTTCTAAAATAAAAGTAGCCTAAGTTACTCCTTGTGACATCAGCTATCTGCCAATAAAAATCCCGTCAAAATCGGTCCGGCCGTTTCGGAAATTAGCCGGAACAAACAGACAGACAGACAAAAATTTTAAAAATTGTACTTTTGTTATTAGTACCGTATATACTTTCATATGCATTTAGTAAAAAGCTGTAATTTTGACATTACAAACAGACACTTCAATTTTATTTATTTGTATAGATTAAGAATCAAAATGCAGATGCGTTGCCACCCCTGTTAACGAAGGCGGACTCGGGTCTTTTCCAGAAAATGGGTCTCCGGTTCTCTACACTCACCATTCGAAACACAGCAGTGTTAAGCTGCTATTTTACGCTGGTATTCTGTGAGAGCGTGATCCTTCTCCGGTCGAGCCGGCCCATTCGTGCTACAACTATACTACTAATATAGCTGCAGCATGGCTCTATTACGTTTAAAAACCCCGCTTCTTTTTCATGTCCTTTAACCTTTAACTAACGACCTATACGTTTTACAGACGGCGTAACTTTTATAATAACAATTATATTAATATTAAAACACATTACACATCGCCCGCTAAGTGGTACCCCTCCATCGTACGCGGCGAGTGCTCACGTGTCCGTCGAGGAGCCATTGCCGTCTCACAGACGTAAGTACGTTGTTTATGTAAAAAACTTATGACGTCTCCTGGTCGTAACCGCAGTAATTAAGTAAGGCTACAGTGTCTCATGGACGTGACATCGTTACAAGTGTAGTACTTTTTTACAGAATGCCTGGGGGTAGATTTTTTTTGGGTAGAAAGCGGAAAACATCTGCTGATGAAGATATGGGTATAACACAACTTTCAACTTCACATAAACGTAACTTGACTGAACAAGATATAAAAGCTTTTAAAAAAAATTACTTCGCAAACATCCGCGTTATAAAATAAAATGATGTGTCTTACCTAGTATGAAGAGCACCTCCCGCCCTCCCTCAATTGCGTGCACTATCCCCGTCACCACCAATCCCAGCACCGCTACTCCCAACACCACTACACTAGGCAAGACACACCACTGACGACAATACGACACGTGTTTCGCCTCTACACGAGGCATCCTCAGGTGATATAGACTCTACGGTGGCTAACTGCTAAGTGACTAACTTTCACTTTTTTATATAATGGATTTCCGCAAAGTAACGTCTGATTCTATTAATTATATGAACAAGATACAGTTGAACATCTCGTGTGCGGAAGTGATAATGATTGCAGTGTTTTCGACGATGATGTGGGAGAGACTTTATGTTGGATAGCGATCACAATTCAGACTCAGAACAATCTGAAGTGGAGGACCAACAAGACATTTTTTCACAAGGACATGAGGTTGACCGAGTAATCAGTAGTCATCAGGAAATTGAACGGAATTTTATAACTGAAGACACTCATCGAGATCAAGGAAATAACGAACAAAATGAAGAAAGAGGATCCAGCTATGAACAGGTTAGAGAAGAACGAGTTGCTGAGGAGTTGCTAAATAATGAACAGGCGTCAGTTACAGAGCCGATACCTGAGCGTTTGCGCTACTATTATGGGAAGAATAGATATAAGTGGTCATCACAGTAACCATCACGATCATCTCGGGTGCGACAGCATAATATAATAAATATGCCACGTCAAGCCAGTCCTATTACATTTACATCTTTTGAGGATTTGTGGAATTTATTATTTAGTGAAAATATGATTGACATGATTGTGAAACATACTAATGATAAATTGAGTATTTATAGAGCTCGGTAAAAAGACCAGCGAAAGGTACCCTTGTCAAGCCGACCGATTCGTTCTACAACTATACTACTAATATAGCTACAGCATGGCTCTACCACGTATAAAAATATCATAGCAACCTTTATATCATCTAATGTGGGAATTAAATCTCACATTTATAATCACTTTAGTATCACGGTCATTATAATAACATCATTATCACAATCATTATAATCACTTTAGAACCTATATATTTCACACAGAACACTTCATACAGTGGTAAATAAAAATTACTTTTTTTTTTATAGGATAAGGGTGACAAATGAGCACACAGTCCACCTGATGGTAAGTGGCCGCTGCGGCGCATATACACCTACATCTATCCTCTGTTACAAATCAAAATGTAGATGCGTTGTCACCCGTGAGGACCAAGATGGAATGCCTCATTTCCAGTAAAAAGGGCCTCCGGCCACCTGCACTCACCAAGCGAAACGCAAAGGTAAACCTCTACTTCACGCTGGTTTTCTGTGAGGTCTTGGTACTACCCCGGTTCGAGCCGGCCCATCCGTGCGACAGCAAAAGCTGCCGCGTGGCTCTACCACTGTTAAAATATGTAAATTACTTTCAATAAGTATTACGTAATAATCAATATTGAATAAAAAATCTTTCTATTCTTTTCTAGAACGACCTGCTTCCTTAAACCATTCATTAAGGACCAACAACTGCAAGCAAGTAATTTGCGTCAGAGTCGTGGACCGATAAGCGATAAGTAACGAAGATTAGTGTGAAATCATTATGACGCAGGGCCAACGAGATGGTCACAGTTACAGTCGATGTGACGCAAAATAACTCCGTATCAGTTATTGTAGCTATTACGTACGTTTTACGTTGTTACGAGTTGATAATCAAATGTAGTTTTGGCGACGTTTCTCACTATAAATATAAACTATTACCGCGACTGTTTCTATTCGGAAGCACTTGTCTGCTTTTAAAGCATGTAAAACCTGGGAGCATGTTAGAACTAACATATAATAAATGAAACAAGAAAATAAGATTTATGTAAACACAAAAACTGAAAACGACTTATGCGACAATTTCTTTAGCAACCAAATATGTCCAAATAAAAAATAAGTCTAAATAAAAGGAGCTCTGTCTCCTGAACTAGTTTATCACCTGTATCTTAGCAGGGCTAGCATGGGCAGGAGACAATTTTATACCCGTGGAAAGGAGAAAATTTATATCCTCGATTAAAAATTTTTTTTATTATAAAAAAAAAGTTTTATCCACCTTTCGAACATGGGCACACCAGTGAATATAATATCCACAGTAGATAAAATGGGAGATAGACTTAGACTTAGATAGATTTTTTGTATGAATATAAACTTAAAACCACGTCCAATGAACTAGGATAGAATTGTCCCTTTCAAATGTCAAAAAAGCATAACTTTTTATTTTTCATTTGGCTCCATGCTACGGACGGGGGATATATGTCTACTCGTTATGTCAAACGGGGATATACTTCTCCCCGTTGCCGTGCTGTGGCATAGGTACAAGATAATTTTATCTCTTGTCAGTGGATATAATCGGGGGATAAAATTTTTGTCCGCAGCCATGCTTGCTAGCCGTGCAGGAAGTAACTCTAACACTGTACAGTATATCTAAAACACATGGATAACTTTATTCATTCATTATGAGTAGGTATTTTCTATATTTTGGCTATTCAAACAGAAGACAAAAAACTTACAATCTACCTGATGGTAAGTGGCTACTGCAATTACATCCTGTAAAGCATTTCATGATAGTCCACCGGGATGACAACACATCTGTAGACTTATTTAATGTTTTACTATCATGTGGAGTGTTGGCTCGTTTGTCGTATTCAAATTACACACAAACGTTACCTATATATGCGCAGTTATTGAAAATGTGCCAAGTGACTGAGAACGAAATAAAACGCAAAGAATAATTTCATAGTACCTATGCATATAACATACGGTGAAGCGTTCGTGATTTAGCTCCAAACCACCTCACATTTGGTTTATCGATTTAGCGCTGGAGGCTTTCCTTTATGTAATAAAACCATCAAAACAATTTACAAAACATCTACAAAGCTAATAACATGTAGACGTGGCCAGCGATTATCATACGAAATAAATTGTAGTTAGTACAAACCTTATTGATGAACACTAGTAATGTCGGGACAACAATGGGTATTGAAATACATTATTGAACTACATATTATGTTACTTAATACATTATACATATTAACCATTACATTTACATATTAAGCGTGTAGTGGCGGTGTAATACCCACTACCCCATATCATCCCAAGGGTGACGTAAGGCTCAATTTACATTGCCGCGGAACGGAGTGGAAGCAAATTTTTGTAACGAAATTGTACATAGTAAAATGAATTTTATGTTAATTGTGTAACGTGCAAACTAAATATGATTAAAGAAATCGCACGATTTCTTTTTTAAATTGTAATTTGAGCATTTCATTCCGCCGCAATGTGAATTGAGTCTAAGAGGCGACAGAGGGAAAATGAAACAGGAGATGAGCAGCAGCATCTTACTGAAAACAACTCAAAATAATAAATAACTTCGATTGACAACACGCTTGCCAAACGTGGCATCTATGGCAAAATCTCCCCATGATCAATGCAATCTTATAAGGGAGGCCTATGTACATCAGTGGACTTATATAGGCTGTAATGGATTGATAGATATTTCATGCAAATAATTTTAATTAAAATAAATATTTTTACACAATATTATGTATGTTTACGCAATATTTCTACGTGGTAGAGCCATGCTGCAGCTATATTATGGTTGTAGCACGAATGGGTCGGCTCGAACGGGGAAGGACCACGCTCTCACAGAAAACCAGCGTAAAATAGCAGCTTAACGCTGCTGTGTTTCGTATGGTGAGTGTAGAGAACCGGAGACCCATTTTACTGGCAAAGAGGCATTCCATCTTAGTCCTCACGGGTGACAACGCATCTGCATCTTGAGTCTTTATTGAGGATAGATGTACTCGTAGATGTCTATGGGTCACAGTAACCACTTACCAGGAGGTGGACTGTGTGCTCGTTTGTCACCCGATCCTATATAAAAAAAATGTTATTTAAAAAACACATTAAATTAAGTGCTTTTCCGCATATTTTATAGTAGTGGTACTACCTGTAGTACCTACTAAATGTATGAACATATTTACGTGCAAATCAGATTTTATAATTATTGTAAAAGGCACATTGACGTTTATATTTTTGTCATTTTGTTATTACGTACCTATATTTTAAAATCATATTTATTAAACCGTTACACAAGATATTTCTCATGTATCGTGGAGGCAGTTCACTTATATTTCACTAGGACAAACATCCAGACCCGGAACAATTATTTGTAGGCCATACAAGTAGATACTTGTTGCGTGGGGGATTCGAAACAGCAGCTCAGCACCGCATCTCATTGTTAAGCCACTGCGCCACGGAGCCGTTAAATCATTGTTAATATTTTATGTAGGTAGAGCGTGTAATATAGGTGGTCTATAGTAGCTAAATATTATCATTTTAATTCATTCAAATATCGATAGGTCTAGTAACTAATGAAGTTTTATTCAAGTCATACTACCAATGATATCAAACATAACAATATTTCTGCACCCTACAGAAAAATATCCGTTTATATGCCCCTTCATAGATAGGGGACTAATGGTATCAGTGAACCTTGACCCACTGGAACTATTGACCTGATTAATTCTCGGAAATTAGGATCACCTTGTCAAGCCGCTTAGTGGTTTGTGGTTCGATGAAGCGGCTTCAATATTACCTCTATCAATGTGTGTATCTAATAAATTTTATAACATGCAACAAAAACACGCACGCTACGTTAATTTGCTGCTATGCTATTATTCCATTATAAACCGAAAAAGATTACACATCAGCGGGTTTTTTAATAACCCCTTATAGTGGAAAAAGTGGAAATTTATAATTTAGCCAAGATTTTAGTCTTAGACCTAGACCTTGTGGTATTCCTTAGTTCACTCAAAAGGGTAAAATAATCAGATTAAAAAAAAAAAAAAAAAAAACGCGAACCCACGAACATCTGCAAGACTGCAACATCAGGGGAATTGCAGGTGTGTTGCCGGCGTTTTAAAAACGAGTAAACTCGTGTCTTAAACTTTACGTGTCTTCGAAATAATTTTTAGACACGTTTTCCTTCACCGCCGAGCACGTGGTAAATCAGCACTTAAAATTGCAATTAACAATTTCATAGGTACCGGCGGGGATCGGACCCGAGTTGCTCACGTACTGTAACATTTACAGCTAGCGCTTAGCCTATGAGCTACCACGGCTATAGAATAACATCATTATCATTACAGCCTTTCAACAAGTCCACTGCTGAACACAGGCCTCCCCCAAGGAATGCCACAAAAAGCACCGTCCTGAGCTACCTGCATCCATCGACTTCCTGCATGTCAATCCATCTAGTGGGGAGCCACCCTACACTTCGCCTTCCGGTACGAAGTCGTCACTCGAGAATCTTTCTTCTTCTACAGTTACAGTGTCAGTTCATATATGGCCGGCCCATTGCGACTTCAGCTTACAAATCCGTTGGGATAGATAGCTAATCGTCTGGTCAGCGTTTGGTAGATTACGACACATCTCGTCAGGTGTATCTCAAAACTAGAAAACAAGATTGTACCACCAGTGCGTGTTGCCAGTGATGACTTATGGAACCGAGCTGCTGGCCGTATGAGGAAGCTCAAGGTCGCTTAGCGAACTATGGAGAGGCTATGCTCGGGGTTTCCGTGCATAATAAACTTAGAAATGGGGTTATCAGCAGTAGAACCAGAGTAAACCGACATAGTAACATACTACTGTGTTTAAATAATTTTATGTTTCGATTAACAAAGACTTCGTCTCTGTTTATCTGCTTACGTTCCATGACGCAAATAATGTATTTATAGTTACAAACGTTCACTTATGAGAATATTGAAATGTAGTGCATAGGTTTCTGGCTTGGTTATAGCTTGATAGAATAATAGCTATAATAGCTTGATAATTATAACACGTGTTTTTTCAGATTTACTCAAGCAACAGGTTTGTTGACAGTTTCGACAGTTCTTTGTGTTTCCTTTATATAAAGATAAGGAAACATTCAACTGTTTACTTTTCAGATATCGTAGAACTAATGCCAGCGCAAACAGCTCGACGCGTCAACGGAGTTAATTAACAAGCTAATTAACACACATTACTCTATTTAGAATTTCTGATCGTGATTTCCATCTCCCCATATCGTCCCGTGGATGACTTAAGAAGCGACTATGGAAAATGCCAGAAAGATCATCAACATTCAAAAACATTGACGGCTCCGTGGCGCAGTGGCTTAGCAATGAGTTCCTGCGCTGGGAGCCGCGGGTTCGTATCCCGCACGGAACAAGTATTTGTATGGCCTGCAAATAATTGTTCCGGGTCTGTATGTTTGTTCTTGTGCAATTTATGTTTGTAAACTGCTTCCATGATGCAGGAGAAAATCCTAGTGTGGAAGTAACGTTTAAAAAAAAAAGAATTATAAAAAATATTAATGGATTTCAATTACTACATTATTATAAACGTTACATATTATGCGTCAAACAGTACGTCTAAGAGTCGATTTTTCAATTCTCGGATAAAGTCACGGTGCAGCTATATAAAAGTTGTAGCACGAATGGGTCGGCCCGACCGGAGGAGGGCGTCTTACAGAATACCAGTAAAATAGCACCTTAATGCTGCAGTGTCTCGTATGGTGAGTGTAACCGGAAACCTTTCTTTACTGGAAACACATTCCATCTAGTCCTCAGTAATTTTTAAATTTGCTTGTGGTTGTATTTTGTTATATGAATAACTTTATTCCAGACTAAAAATTAGAACCAAAAGTGATATTAATTTTTCGCTTTGCTGCCTTATTTACAGCACGGTTACGATGCGGTTTAAGAGTAAAATTCTTAACAAACAATTATGAATGTTATAGCAACTAAATATATTAAGTTGCAACATTACGCTGTGTAAACACCGCCAAAACTACACCGGAATGTACGGGAACACCCAGAATAATCACTTGATTTCTTTTACAAATTTATTAAAAAAATCTTTAACAAATACGCGACAAACTTGCTGCGAAAAATTACTATAATTATTATATATCTAAGCTAATGATTTTATAATGGAATAATCAAAAAAATACTTTTCTACGAAACATTTTATAAATAAAAGAATGACTTTACCAGTAGTGACCAGCTGTTGCAACCTTGAAGGCAGATCTGCCGTTGTCACTTCTGCGCCTTGTGGGTGGAGGATATCAGGCATAGCGTTCCGCCGCCCTGTCCGTCCAGTCTCGAGGAACTCGCGGGGCACCTCCTCACTATTCCTGTCCTGCATTATTGCCATCATTCTCAGCACTGAAATGCGAAACGTGAGTCGTTAATAACCCATTATAATCACAACAGTTCTTGTATTGACGGGAACAATCTTATCATGTTCATTATGCGTTGTTGAACAAGCTATTTATCTATAGTAGATATCTATGATAATAAATTATTAATTTATGTCAGCGTTTACTCTTCGCGCCATTAGATACAAGTGACATAGTTAATTTCTTTTTAAATTATTAAAAAGGTTTTATTTATTTATGATTTAATATTATAATTAAATATTATTCAGGAAGTCGATGGATGTAAGTGGCTCAGGACCGTGCTTTGTGGCATTCCTTGGGGGAGGCCAATGTTTAGCAATGGACTTATGAAATATAATACAATACAATAATTCCAATTTGATGTTTAAAAACATTTATAAACGAAAACACAATAAACCGTAAAAATATATGGCACCTGAACTTAGGCTTATTTTATATATATGTATAGCGTAACAAACCACAAAGTCCATCTAATGCTAAGTGTGAATACCAGTTGAAGGGTCTCTGTCTTGTAACTTATCATACGAAACACGGCAGCATTATGTTCCTATATGACGTCTGTGATCGGTGCGAGCGAGGTCCTTCGCCGATCGAGCCGAACCATTCGTGGTGAAACCATAATACCCTGCAGCATGGTTCCATCATGTGTTAAGTGCTTAATAGTTAAATACTCATATTTACTTGAACGTTCCGGTCTCAGACCAACAAAGAAAGGTATACGGAGCGCCACGTACATTTCAAGCAACTCTAAAATCTTGATCAACTTGACTGACACGCACTCACCCACACATCTTTCTTTTTTCCTTTATCGACCTGTAGAAGTTCACTGCTAGACGCACACATATATGCACCTAATACTGTGTTGTTATGTGGTTGCAAATGATTTTAGACGCATGTGTACGTGAGGGCAAGTTGTTACAATAAGTTGAGAATGGTATTGGCTTAGTTTTAACGTCACATGAAATGTACGCGGCGGTCCTTCTTTCTAACATTGTTTGTTTGTTGGTCTGAGGTTCCGGTACGTAAATTTGAGTTTGTGTTGTATATTTATTTTCAATTTGGGGATTGCTTATCTTTCTTTTAAGTTTCATTTTTTTTTAATAAATAGTACAAACGACTTCAAAAGGTAACAAACAACTGAATGTGGTCTAAATAGTGATATTTATCACCTATTGTTAACCCAGGACGAAAACAGAATGGTGTTGTGTGTTTGTAGTGTGTATCTGTGTATATGTGTGTCTGTCTGTGGCATCGTAGCTCCTGAACAAATGAACCGATTTCGATTAAGTTTTATGCGTTTGAAAGGTGTCTTAATCAAGTCAGTTTAAAGAAAATCTGTTCAACCGTTTGAAGATCAGCTCTTTTTATTTCGGGGGGGTTTTTAAATTTTCAATTTAAATTGTACCATCCTTAGGGATAGATTTTTTTTCATCACTGAAGGTAGTATTAAAATTAACACATTAAAATCATTTAAATCGGTTCAGCTGTTTCCCAGAAATTGATGAACTCACCATAATAAATATACGCGTTAAGTATAGAACCTAATAGTTTTTTGAACTTGTTTAAAATAGAAGTCGTACGTTCACAACCAGTTGCTTCATATCTCAAATAAAGGAGTTTTCACTCTGCCGAAATTTCACTCTCACGTTAAACTATTTTTTTTAATATAACGAAAGTTATAGCAAATTAAGTTACTCTCAACAATATATAACAATTAAAAAGCGAAAATTGAAGTAACTAGTAACGATACAGAAGAAATAGAAAGTCAAATTATATTCACGACGACGCGACGTCTCGCACGTCTTTAATCACTAGCTCACTCGTCACGGCTGTGTTTTGTACTTTGTAAATTATTCCATCGCAATAGTTATAACTTCATTGTGTTATCGAAGAGCTGTGGTCGCACAGAGGCGAAACGGTCGCTGTAAGTGTTAGTTCGCGAGCAACTCGGGTTCGATCCCCACCGGCACCAATGAAATTGTTAATTGCAATTTTATACGTGGTAGAGCCATGCTGCAGCTATATCAGTAGTATAGTTATAGCACGAATGGATCGGCTCGACCGGGGAAGGACCACGCTCTCACAGAATACCAGCGTAAAATAGCAGCTTAACACTGCTGTGTTTTGTATGGTGAGTGTAGAGAACCGGAGACATTTTATTGGAAAAGAGGCACTCCATCTTAGTCTTCACGGGAATAGAATAGAATAGATGCATTTTGATTCTTTATTGAGGATAAATATAGATGTCTATGGGCTACAGCAACCACTTACCATCAGGTGGACTGTGTGCTCGTTTGTCACCCTATTCTATAAAAAAACATTTAAGCGCTGATTTAGGTACCCCACGTGCTCGGCGGTGAAGTAAGACATCGTGAGAATTGTGAGCAGCGAGGTAGAGAAATTGCTCCATATCCCTCGCAGAAACGAGAGAAGGCCTGTGCCCAGAAGTGGGACGTATTTAGGTTGTAACTATCCGGCTTCAAAAAGGAGGAGGTACTCAGTTCGACTATATGTTTTTTATGTGTTACCTCATAACTTTTTACTGGATGAATCGATTTCGATGATTCTTTTTTTTATTTGAAAGCTGGTGCTTCTCATGTGGTCCTATATAAATTTGATCAAGGTCTGACCAATGGTTTTTGAGTTCGTGGCGACCAGGAGTAATTTGTAATTTTAAAACATCACTAGTTTCTGTAAATACTAAATACTCGATAGTAACTAACTACCAACTCTATCTAACTTTAATAAGAAAATAGTCCGAATATACATACATATTCTTAGTTTCAATAAAAGGCTTCTAAAAAAATTGTAAGCTAGTGGTTTCACAAGTGAAAGTTCCTCTTTTACTTGTGTTTCATACTTACATTTTCAAATATATGTTGTAACCTATGTTGTATGCGTTTGATACATTGTAGAATTAGTGTGCTGACGTTGAAAATACCATTTGTTGTTACAAGTAACTAAAACGGTAAGGACATATTATTGAATAATTAATTAAAATAACTAAAGCCGCTGCCGCGCCGGCACCATGAAATTGTTGATTCCAATTTTAAGTTCTGATTTACTACGCTTATCGGTGAAACAAAACTTCGTATAAGGATGGTACGGGCCACAAAAATAAAAACAAATCGAATACGCCTTGGGGCAACCCGACAATCCTCTAAAAACTTTCTCACTAATGGAAGAGGGCGTGAGAGCAGAGGCAGAGGGGTGTGTAGGTTGATACTTTACTCTTAAGCGCAGAAAATTAATGTAAGTAAGTATTCTTCTTTATCTATTTTATCGACCTCTCTAAATTTATGTGTATTTTTTTTAAAGTCGGTATAACTTTTTATTAAAAACTAGTTATCCACTCCAACTTATATAAAAAATTTCTGTATTTCAACAACAGCGTCACCTACAGGGTCCAATTGCAAATCTATACCATCGAGGGACCCACTCAAACACGCACAAAAAATTTCATCATAATCAATCGAGGCATTTTCGAGTTTTAGCGAGACTGATTTTTATATGTTATACTGATTTCATTTTTGACTCTTTTCAGTGGACTAAGGAATGTAAAAAGATGAAATATCGTCTAACATTAAAACTATATCTCTACATTTTTCTCTTTATATTTTTCACATTTAAGTAGGGGTGGAATTTTTTCCTACTCCGTAAGGTAAAAATCAAAAGCTGACTTCAAAGAACTGTATTATTTGTATATACAATGAAAAAATAATCTTTAAAATCGGTTCACAATAGACGAATATTACCGCGTAATATACATAAAAAAACATACAGTCGAATTAAGTACCGGCTACTTTTTGGAAGTCGGCAGAAAAAACATACAATCGAATTGAAAATCGAACCTCTTTCTTTGATGTCAATTAAAAACCATTTTCGCTCGACGCGTTTTCGCTTATCAAACGTTTTAACTAAATTCGAATCAGCAGCATTTAAAAAAATTCGAACTTACAAATTGTCACGAAGTAGGAAAGAACAATGGCAGACTTTCATACATAAAATTAGTTTAGAAGGAATGGTAGCGTCTATATATCAAAAATATCTTAAAATGTTAAGCGTCAGTCCCTTAATAACTCTCTCAAAGAATTTTGTCCTGAGAAAGCCAAAATTCTATAACAGTGGTAGAGCCACGCGGCAGCTATTGCTGCCGCGCGGATGGGCGGGCCGAACCGGGGTGGTACCACGACCTCACAGAAAACCAGCGTGAAGTAGAGATTTACCTCTGTGTTTCGCTTGGTGAGTGCAGGTGGCCGGAGGCCCTTTTTACTGGAAATGAGGCATTCCATCTTAGTCCTCACGGGTGACAACGCATGTACATTTTGATTTGTAATAGAGGATAGATGTAGATGTCTATGGGCCGCAGCAACCACTTACCATCAGGTGGACTGTGTGCTCGTTTATGCTATAAAAAAAAAGGCGTCAAAAAAAATATTTAGATTTGAACCTTTTGTCTTATGTCACTTGGAAAAAGTCATGCGTCCTGTGGTTGTTTGATGTTAGCTTAATACATTCTCAACATAATGTACTTACCTACATAATTGAGAGTTTTTAGATTATTGTAACTCTATTATATATTTGCATAATATAAATGTATATTTCTGGCATGGCTCCAGGGCCTTTGTGTCATATAGTGACACTCTCAAAAGGGCTAGAACCCAAAGTTGTAAAGCCAGTAAAAAAACAGTGTCATTTTGTTTTAGCTAGTGCTGCCATAACAATAAATGAAATTGTTACATATTACTATGATTGAGATAATATATTATTGTAGGAAGTTCTTTGTAAGAGACTTATTTTCAACTATATCACTTTTATTTTTTATTATTACTGATAGTATAGTTATTACTAATAATAACTTAATATAAAAATATTTTGTGTTTGTGTGTTGTGTTGCTAATCTTACAAAGTGTATACGACATTACATTTTTATTTGAAAAATCATAGAAAAATTATAAAACTCATTTTATATATAACTTATTTCTA